GAAAGAAAAAAAAAGGCTGAAAGGAGTCTACACTGTATGATTACAGGGTGCTTAAAATACATACAGAAAAATATCTTATTTTATCCTTGTTTCAAGGCATTTAAAGAAAGTTTTTTTATGTGTACATGTTACTACTGCCCAAGCCACGCTACATTATTTGCTTGCTCTTACAAGCAAACAAATTAATGAAAACCCAAGGTGTTGAGGCCTCAAACACCCAATATATGCCCATGATAAACAGAAAGGAAGAATGCAGAAGAGCTGCACAATATCTAAGCAGCCTATCTCAGGGCATACAAAATTGAAATTGGAGAAGATCAAGTAAGATTTCATTAGAATTTAAATCTTGCATTTAAGGGATTTATTTAATGATTAGTAAGAAATTTTATTACTGTTACTACTATAATCTTTAATGAGTGTCAGACATTGGATGTTTCAGCTCTGCAAAATGTAACATGCATTTAGAAAAAGAGCAGAGTGGCTCCATACACCTAGTCTTGGCACCTCCCACAGGGGACTTCCCAGGGCTTTATCGGGGCTATCTGGAACCGCCAGCACAGAGGTGGACAGACTGACTGAACCACTATGAAACACTGAGGAAATCAGGCCCAGCTTGAAAAAACGCCACCAAGGCAGCAAAACACATCCTCCTATTTTGCCCAGTAGTAGAATCCGAATACGCAGCTTCGATCAGAGAGGGACGGCACACAGAGAAGAACTCACGTGCGTTTTGAATCCATCCTCAGCGCCCTGCTCTTCTCAAAGCGCTGTGTGCAGGAGAGCCTTGGGTGACGGCCGCACACACCCTTCCGCTTCCTTCCTCGGCGGCGGAGCAGGAAGCCGCGCGGCCGCGGAGCGGCTTCATTTGAATTGGTGCCCTCTCCGCGCCGCACCAGCCCGCTTCTGCCGGGGCCACGCATTCCCAGTCCTCTTCAGGGGGTTAACCCAGAGCAAAGCAGTGATGAAGCGGGGCCTGCTGGTTCCTAAGGGCTCTGGGGCCACCCGGGAGCCTCCAAGCAGGAGAGCCATCCCTGTGCTGCCGGCCACCTCCGCCTTCCCGGGCAGAGAGCACCAGCGCGGTGCCTGCCTGGGCAATGCGCGTCTTTCCCTGTATGTATTTTGTTACGGAAAAAAACCCGCTGTAGAGCAACTCTGTTATACTTTATTTGCTTGGCCAAAATACTACGCAACTGACTCCGGCTAAAAGCCGGGGCTCAGCTTCAGCCAAACCCAGCACACGAGCTCAGTATCTGCAGCTCATACCGCCAAGCAGCCACCGGACAGAGGCCCCAAACCGATGGGCTTGCACATACTCAGCTGCAATTCTTCATATCCCCATCCGCAGTCTTTCAGGTAACTACAATCCTGAAACAACTCCAGGTAAGATCAGCTCTGGTGCTGCTTAACTTTCTAAGTACACCATAAATAATAGAGACGTTGCTGGTCATAGAATACTGCAGGTAAATGGGTGTTTGGTTGTCACTGCAGAAAATTATTTCAATTTTAATTATTTGATTGAGATTATAACTGCATTTGTATGGATTTATTGTAGCTTCACTTCAAATATTTTAACAACTGTATTTGAAAGTGGGCTAATTTTCAACCTGTATCAAGAGTCACTAAAAAAAACAAGTTTGAAAGTTTGTGAATGAACATTCAGAAAATGGACAGTCCCAAAACAGATGTGACACACAGGCAGGGTAAAACAGCAAGGCATTCTTTAAGGGTCTGGATTTACATAACTTTTCAAGTCTACGTTTCTTATAGATATTGGCTTAAAGTAAAAATAGAGAGGTTTTTTTAGCCTATCACCACAAAGGACAAAAAATTTCATTTCAACACTAAGTACAGGGCAAAGCCATTTACATCTCTGTCCTCAAGATCCTCTTGTCACCACCATAAAAAGAAACACATGACTAAATGGTCTCAGCATGCCAGATTAATGAATGAGTCACTCAGTCACACACCAGTTTCACGTAGACAATAACACTGTTTATATCCTCTGCGAAGCAACAGAGATAAAAGGCGCAGGAAACAAAGCGTGGCTGGCGTTGAAGGCACCGCACACAGTGACCCCGGGAAAGCTCCTGGAGAAGGGACCGCTTTCAAGGCACACACACGTGTGGGGAAATACAAACCAGGTAACATGTCTGCATGTAGCACACTAATTCCCTAACAAGCCCAACACTTGCTAGATACTACACTGTAAAGCTGCAGAAGAGGTGGGAAACAGCTATAGGAGCAAAAGGCACATACGCTACTTTTAGCAACTATATTCATCTAGTGCTTATGTAGGTTGCTGACTGTAACAAGGGAAGCATGTTTGTTTATGCAGAAAACAGGCACGGCATGGGAATCTGTGGTTTGAGACGCTTTGGCAAGGCCTGCCAAAGTGCCCCTACTCTTGTTCTGAAAGAGCCACTGCTGGTAAGGAGAGGCTTCTTTGCCTAGTCCAGCTTTGCTTTTTCCTGCCAAGACCTAAAGGATGCCAAGTGTGCTGCTTGCTTTGCCTCGGGCAGTTGTCATCTTTCAACTGGACACCACCACCTTATTCAGAAAACTCCTTAGCCCAACAGTTATGTTAAACAGCACTGTGTTTCCAACAAAATTCATTTAAGGAGAATTCATGCAAATGGTCGTCTGCTGCCCATTACTAATATTATGAGTATTTGCAATGATGGGAAAAAGTTACTCAGTAGTTAAGAATTGTATCTGAAGTGAAATGGAGTCTTCCCACACAGATTCAAACCCTGTTTGTTTTGGCAGCAACGTACTGGAACTGCAGGCACTTCCAGCAATGTGCAATAAAAAATGTTTAGATCACCACGGTCTCTAAGGACTCCATACTGAAAACGCACAGCTATGAGTTTTAACCACAAACTAGGTATACTGAGAAAGACTCAGCATTCACTGATCTTTACAAAGGATGGCTCTTAAGTTCTGTTTTCTGCTCAAAACAGGTTAAAAGTACTCTGGAAATAAGGGGGAAAAAGGGCCATTATTTTCATTTTAAAAAGTAGATTCTCAGAAATTAGAAAGTTTACTGAATGTTTATCTGGCGTGAAGACCTTCTAACTTAGAAAACCCACATACCACCAACAAAAATACACTCAAGAAAGAGCTACCTTACATTAAGTGACTTAAGACCAAGAATGTGCCATGTGTGATTTGCAGCATTAAGTATAGAACAGTACTGAAAACATAAGCAAAATGAAGGAATGCAGACCATCCTCCCACTTGAGATATGTTTCAGTACAGTCTCATAATGATCAATTTAATATTTGTCTAATGTACTGCTGTTATATAATTCAGTCATACTATTTTAAATTGCTTTCTTCATCCGTAAGGATATTATCATTCAGTAAAGTTCTTATCTTTACACTTTACACATAAGACTTGCTAATGAGAAATTGCTACCCCTGCAAAGAGTGACATGCCTGGGAATGCAGGTTTCCAAAAATTAATACAATCAGTTAAATAAAGAATTAATCACAATGTTTATCAGCAACTGTGCATTGCTTTATAGGCCTACATTCAGCATCTGAAAGACCTCTTGATAAGATGCAAATTTGAGATGCCTCAATAGCTTAAAGGAATCTCTGTTAGCAACCTTCTTGCAGTGTTAAAATGAGGAGCTAATTGAGATTTCTGTTGTCACCAAACTGTTCATAATGGCTGCAGATCCACCTCTGCCTCTGCTAGGTAATTGTGCGCTCCCTGAGAGGGGAAAGCAGCCTGAGCTCTCACACAAAAGCAGCTCCAGTAGTGAGGAAGATCAGCTTAAATCTTGAATTATTGTTCACAAGCTATTGCTTCTGAAATTCTATTTGTGACCATTAATTATTATTTATCAAGACAGTCAGGATAACTGTCCAAATGACAAGCACACATATTCAGTAGTAACATCCTCACTTCAGTGTGCATGCACCTTCCAAACAGAACTGGAACCTCCCTGCGCCTCTGATCCTGTCAGCAAGTATTTTCTAAAACGGAGGGGCCTCAAAACCCATCTACTACTGCTATGCTGCTGCCAGCCGGGCTTGGCAATAAGACTGCTGTACAAAAGGCAGTCCTCCTCATATATTCAATTTGTTTTGCTCAGCTCCTCTTGTGAAAAATGATCTACTGCCAAAAGGAGATTGATTACACTTACTGGAACGAACATTATCAGAGACAATGATCTTGATACGTTTCAGGCAGAGAATAGACCAGCGCAAGTATTCCCCTTGTAAAGCGAATTGGGGAGATTGCGGTTGGGCTCCGAGGGCGAATTTACACTTTGTGCTCAGCTGATTTAAGAGGCTGCTGCTGCCAAAGGAGGATATCCTACTCTGCGTTGCGTCATCGCGCCCCTCGGCCGAGAAGGCCCCAGCGCCGCTGCACCCTCGAAGCTGCTGCAGCTCCCGAACGGCAGCCTTCGCTCGGGGACCTGCCGGCGTGGAAGCCAGGCCGGCTCACGGGCGGCACCGCAGCAGCGCTGCTCCCTCCAGCAGAGCCATCCTCCAGGGCAGCTGGAGTCACAACACACACTTTCACCGTGCCGAGAAGCTCATTTAGCATCCCCAGCAGTGACCCACCAAAGCACCAACCACCACGGGAGCCGAACGGCTCGGGCCTTTTCCTGGGCTTCTGCTCCATTGCTTTTCTTTTGCTAGCTATGTACTAGGAAAAAAAAGTCTTGGAGGAGAAGGAGGGAAGAAAGGGTGTCAGGACAAAATTACATAGTATTTATTCAGGGCCATCTGTTATTCTCAGTCTCAACGTACTATTTTTGTACCACCACAGTGTACAATCGCCGTCATAAGACAGAATTTATGGCTATTCAAATTGTAATCAGGCCAGCACAAGCTGAAATATCAAATGTTCTTCTGTTTGTCACAGAAGAGATTTCTAGACCTTTTCCTTAAAGAGAAAAAAAAAATCCCTGTTCCCCTGTTCTTTAAATGCATGCACAGCAATAAACAAACGTTTCGTACTTGTGCACTAACCAAGCTTCTTACCTGATAGGGCTGAAAGGCACTATCTTCAGTTATAAAATCCAGCTGCTTGTCCACAAGGAATTCTACTGCCGTAATTGCATTGTACACACTTTTTCCAACCAAGGGCTTGAATGTCTAAAAAAAAAAAAAAAAAAAAGAAAGAAAAAGAGAGAGAGAAAGAAAAAAAAGAAAATAAACAAATTAAAAAAATAGCTCAGTACATCAACTCCCCGGGACTGTGTAAGTACTGACATATCGGTTCTTCCATCAAAACAAGTCAGAACAGAACAACAATAACTAATTATATGAGAAATGAGAATTTTGTGCTCTTAGTTTTTCCTTTGTGCAGTTGGTGGAAAACGAGCAAGAAAAGGGAACTGCACCACACGCTGTTCCTTTTCCTCATTGTTCTTGAGCAACAGTGTTTACCGCAGAAGCTCAAAGTACAGGAGCACGATTATATTTTAAACATGGAGCTCAGCACGCAGATCCTCTCTGCCTGCAGGACTAGCTAGCGCGGTGGCAATTACACTGAGGACACTGAAGTGGAAACCACTGCAGACATGCAAGCTGAAACGCTGTGCTGAATCGTTCACCTTGCCTCAAGTCAACCACCTCATTTCCCGGCTCGGCAGCTCCCTTTTCCTCCCCCGCGGGAAGGGCTGCCCGGCCCAGCCCCAGCTCTGCTCCTCTCCGCCCGCACCACCGCTGGAGGCACAAACCCTCCCCAAACCCTCCCCACGCACCCGGCAAAGAAAGGGGAAGGAGAAAGGGAGAACATGGAGGGCAGCAACAGCCTCCAGACAAGGCCCTTGAGACGGTCTAGACAGGAACGCAGTCCCAAGCACCCTGCCTACTCCTCCCTAGGAGCACGTCCAAATGGCAGCCCGCGCAGCAAGTCCTACGCAGAGCAGTGGGAAGAGCTCTGCTGAAGTGGGAGCGAGCGGCCGCGCCGGCGCTGGCAGCGTTTCCTGGAACAGAAGCCGAGCGCGAGTGTGACTGAGCGGGGATGTACCGAGAGGCGATGAGTCAGGTGGAAAGGAAATCCCAGTGGATAGAGCAGAGAGAAAATGCAGCTCTGAGAACAGACAGAGCGCAGTAAGAGGAAGTCACTAAAGAAACAAAGAACAAAGCAAAAAAGCAGACTAGAATTATTAGCAAATATGTGCAGGATATAAGGAAAAAAAGTCATGGAGCAGTAGGAGGAAGCAGAAAGTTACTGCACAGGACGGAAAATAAGAATGAGAAAGAGCCAAGGGCTAAGATTACGGCTCAGCAGCGAGGACGACAAGCAGAACCCGGGCAGGCCGAGCTGCGGCAGCCCATGCACCACACGGCATCTGCGGCGCTCACCGGCAGAGGCGCCCCGCAGGGCACGAGAGGCCAGGGTCGCCCCCGCCTCGCCATGGACAGCCTTGGTCGAGCGGAGGCCGGGAGCCCTCACCCACCTGCAGGGGAGGCACCCGAGCAGGCGGGCGCCCCTGGGCGCGCCAGGGACCGAGGCGGAGGGGGAGCAGATGCCCAGAGAGCTACCCAGGCCTTGCAGCCTTGTGACTAGCCTAATTAAAACCTCAGCCGCTACAGAGCTTAAGCCCTGGCACTTACTAAGCAAGTGAGAAACCATTTTACAGGAGACGTAATACTTTCTAATACATATATCCAACTCCATAAAAGCTCAGACATCATGTTCTCCCATCTGTTTCTATTTCATTTAAGGTTTCATTTCAGCTGCTATCCTTCTTGTACAACCCAGGAAAAACTCACCAGCCAGTCGGCCATTTCCATAGTCTCTGCCTAGATGAAATGGCTGGAGGGACAGAAGAACATGGTAACACACTGACAGCAGAGACTGAAGAGCAAATAATTATTTAACCTCTAATGGTTAAGAAAAGGCCTTTGCTCTTGCATCACTTTTCTATAACGAACCTTGTATTGCTAATACTCAAGGCAGGGTGGAGTTCACATCGTATAACTGCAAAGCCTGAGTGTGTAAACTCACAACTAGCAAGATAATTTTTTTATATGTTGACGTGTTTTTCAGTTGTTAATTTGCATCTGAATCTTAACATACATTGAAAAAGCTTGATTTGAAAAAGCAGAGCAACTTTTCACACGATTATTAAGGTCAGCAAAGGTATTCCTGGCTGCCTACACCAGGGCAGACGGCACTACTAGGTGCAACGCAATGATGTGGAACGTGGCTTGCAGTTACCAGCCAGGGATTTAGACAACGCTACAGATTAAAGTATGTGTGAGCCACTGGTTTATCTTACTGCTGGTATTAAAAGAACTTGTTCCAAATATAGATATGTGAACGTGATTATTCTCAGAAGAGAAACATAATCCCTTCTCATTTGCCTGCATAGATCTAAGTCTCTAGACAGGCCAACGCCCCCACAACACGCGTGTGAAGGATGTGGGCTAGTCTACAAGCACACAGCAAAAATATGTAAATAAATAAAGCAGAACAGTGCCATGACACCCAGCTCCTCACAGGCAGATGGCTACACAGCTGAACAGAACTTATTTGGGACATTTTAAGCACTATTAGAAAATATTCCCGCTATCAAAGAAAAAACAAAACCGCACCCTTTCGGAAGGAGCAGGCTTTCTTCAGAAAGCAAAGTCCAGACTCCAGCAGCATATCCAGGAGATATGCGGGCTGCAGCGAGATAGCCACGCTGGTCCCAACGCCGAAGCGGGCCCGAGCCCCACACCACACACGGCATTCGCACAGCGACAGGCACATGGAGGCCGCGCGCAGCAGGCAAGAGCCAGCTACTAGAAACAAGCACGTGGGCGCGTAATGACAGGAAAACAGACTTGTCCAGGTCTTCTCACAGGCTCTGAGAAAGACGCTCTGCTCCCCAAGTTCCCAAAGTAGAGCACAAGTCTCGGGAGGATCACACTCACTAGCTGGAACCCCTAAAAGCTGAACGTCCTCAAACATGAACATCCCTTGCATAAAACTTCCTTCAGCATCTGCATTAATCCACCTCTCCAAAGACCACAGGCGGGCAAAAGACTTGAGCACACGCTCCATTTTAAATGGTATCTAACTTCACTACTCTTCTAAACTGCTCTTTTGTGAGTCCCACTGCCTCCTGCAAAGCGGAGCCGACGCTTGGCTGAAGGGAGCTCCACGAATGCGCATGGTCACCACTCCTGGCCCCAGAACAGCTCTTATCTGCCCCCCGTATCACTGTTCTACCCCAAAACAGCCCGAGAACCACCTGCCTGCAGGAGGCACCTGGCACAGCTATGAGACTGGGCAGAAAAGCAGGGCTTTGATTAACCTCAGTTCCTAGCAGATACATATATATATATACATGTACATTTAGAAAATATCAAATATCATGGCTCTGCCCTAAAAAACCTCAGGCTTTCTGATACTTCATCAAATATTCATAAAATACACAAGACTACTTCTTCTAATACGCATAACATATTTTAAAAAATCATTATTTAGCATTTGGGTCAGCCCCTGGCAACCACAGGCCCTATTACCAGAAGCAGCAGCACTGCGAAAGCATAGAGAGCGTTTTTATCTCTGCTTAATGCAATTAAGCAGCTGGAAACCCGGTAAGCCAACAGCATGTGACGAGGCAGCGCTCGGCTCGGCGCTCGCCAGCACGGACTAGGGCTCCCAAACCGTGCGCCTGAGAACTGCTGCCTGCAGGGTGTTACCTTAGCATTTCTAGGCTGCTACACCAGAAAATTCTCATTCCAGTAAATGCTCGGGTTACAGCTGAACCAACAGCTGTGTGCCCGGTTCATTAGCGCATGTAGAAATACTTCATTTGCGTTACTACAGTTTGGACCTTGTTTGGCTGGGCACTCAACTCCTGTGCCTGAAAATCGCCCTTCAGATCACAAAAGCACATTTTTGAATGTATGTGCAGTGTATTTGCTTTTTAAAAGTATCTGTCTGGAGGAATTTATACCGCAAAGAAAACAGTCACTTAAAAACTAAGCATTTATTCAGGAAAGCTTTTCTTATGCTAAAGCTTGCTAATATGCACCAGGATTTGTATTCTTTGGCAAAGACAGAAGCGATTTTATATATTTCCATTTTTAAACCACAAAAATCAAGAAGATCACATAAATTTAATTTATGTGTGCTGTTAAGCAAACTTTTCCATACATTGTTTTTTAGTGTTGCTGTTTAGTCTGCAATAGCGCAAACACTGGCACCTTTTCATTATGACACTTAATCACTAGACTTCCAAATAGCAGTATTTCTCTTCCAAAAGCTGTATGTTGCCATGGTTTGTACTCAAAAGCAAAAATCACCAAGTGGAAAAGAACGGAGCAGATAAATAAAGCAGATCTGAAATAAAACCTGGGCACGGAGAGCATTTCTCACAGGGCGCAGCCCCATGCGCACATTAAAGCGGGCTGCTGGGGTTTCCTCTGCTAGAAGTGACCTGGAAACCCCCATCGGTCCCCAAGGCGCCGCTGCCCGCAGACCCCGCGTTCTGCCCCGCCCGGCCGGGCCC